TTAACTGATTTCAGTCACAACTGGGAGCATCATTACCTTTGTAAAGAGATTTTTCCCCGTCAGTTCACATAACTGTACACACCAGGTAGTTTTCTAAATCCAAACAAAGCTCTATTCTGTGATTCTTATCAGCCGGCTTCCCCTGCTTGTGCGCGCTTTTTTCCCTCCCCGAGGAAAACAAACACACCCATCCACATTCCAACTGCTGCTTTTAACAGTCCTACAGAGGTGGCCTTGTACACAAGTCAGCATCTCCACTGTGTGTGTGAGAGAAAGTTTAGACCAATCGCATAGCAACCTACAGCGGCCACTCCGACGTGTCTTCATCACGCATTAACCTTTATGATGACACAGCGTCTGCGTGCAAGTCCAAAAATCACAAGACCTCTCACACAGGCTGATTAACCCGTGCTGTAATCACATGGCATTTCAGCTGCAGAGGACATTTTAATGAAGCGATGTTCTGCAGACTTGCTCAACACTTGAGGAGCTCTGAGCTGTGCTGGCTAACGCCAACTTCATGATGCAAGAACAGCAATTACTCCGTTCCAGAAACCGGCTGCTGACGGCACTCGACATGCTCGGACAGTGAGCGTCTCTGTTCCCTGCAGCGGGACACCTCTCAGACTGGGTTCAAATCAAACAACGTCCGCTCCTCTAATGGCGCTTCATGTACACCAAATGTGTTTGTTCCAACAAATATGTCAGACTTTAATCATTTGTGTTACCTGAAATTAAAGCTTGTGGGTGTGTCCCACTAATATTTTCCACACTCATTCATATCTACCCCGAAATAGCCGATATATCACGTAATGTTCTTTTGCTTGTATTGTGCCGCGAACCGAGGCCCCTCCAAAAGCATATAACCTGCTTATCATAAAAGGCTTATCAGGCGCTTCACCCAGCAACCAATGGTCTTCCTGCATCTGGTTGAGGTCCAACACTCTTTTGAAGCAAGCCAACTTTCTGTCAGACGGGATGTTTATGTTTCCAAGTTTAGCTAGCTTGGCACCGTGTCAGCACTGGACAACTTTTCCTGACAGAAGATGCCCCTGAGGCGAGGCCTGTTGAAAGACTATTGTTCCCTGGTCCAGCTGAAGCTATTGACAGGTAGCTTCAGTACTCTGAAATCAAGTTGTTTTGTTTTTCCTCCTTTAGACTGTGAGTAATCTGCACTGCTGCTTGGCTGTGATTTCATTTCATTCCCCCTCATAAACCTCCGCTTCAGTGCGGCGTCATTTATAGATCTTCTATAGCAACGAGCATATGAGTAGGAAGTGTGTGTGTGTGTGTGTGTGTGTGTGTGTGTGTGTGTGTGTGTGTGTGCAGATAACTGCTGAGTCTAGCTTTAACTGTTGAAGCTTCCTCTGAACCAAAACGATGATCTCTGCTGTGTCAGATTTGATTTATTAATAATTCTTCATGTCTGACATTTCTAACACAGTAATGTCAAAGCGACTGGGCAAGCATCACTGTTTTCTTCTTTGCATTGTAAAAAACGGCACCAGTTCATACATGAATGCTTACTCAGTTTCTCCTGAAACTCTAACAGGTCACAAGAGTCTGAGATGATGTCATGTATACTAAAATGTTTACATTTTACAAAGGTGGATGAAGTTGTCAGATTCTTTACTAAGTATAATCGTCTACAAGTTCCCCGTGAACAGCAAGTTGTAGATAAAGGGACTCAAAGAATCCTGAATTCAGATCTTTGGAAGAATCGTGCAACAAAAAAAGATGGTTTTAGAAGCGTAACGTCCAGTGGAAAGAGGCTTTTCAACGCTTTATCCTCATTAGGAGTAACCCTGAATCTCTCCTCTGTGCTGAGTGGCTTTGTCATGTTTCGGACCTGCTTGTACGACAGGGTGTTTATCAGAAGTTCGAGCGGATGGTCTCTGCCATGCAGCTGCCCCTGGAAAAACCCTGAAACGGTTCTTTGTTGATATGTACAAGGTGTCAAAACTAGTCGTTAAAGGTACAGGAGAGGTTAGCTTGATAAAGCCTTGTTTTGGGGAAAAGTTGCCAAACCTTTTAAGCTATTTTTTAGCACTTTTCATGGCGTTTTTATTTCCCAGTGACCACTTTAGTTAGAATAAATGCCCCGAGGTGTTTCAGGGTGACGACCAAGTGGTGGAACTTACTTGACTTTGACCAGTTTAGAGCGATCGCCAAATCTACCGTCAGATAGTGCCAGGGTTGTACTGGAGCACGACAAAGTGAACAGGAGCACGAAAGTGGACCACATGTCATGTTTTATTCTGTGACTTTATAAGTCAGCTTCATAAGTGTGACTGAAAGGAAATAACAGGAGGAAACTGGAACCTTCCCAACTGAGTCCATGTCAGCACAGTCAGCCTTTAGCTAGCTTAGGTCTAATTCTGTGGATGTTTTTCTAGCTCATTTTAAGCTCATGTCCACACTGCAGAGGATAAACTGGTAAACCAATATTTTTCTCCCTGTTTTGACCATCAAACTTGATTAAAACTGTGTTGCTGGCCTCCAAAAAACGACAGAAGCTGTGCTTTAAGCTGCTGCTGTGTTGGAAGTGTGTAGGTGTCACGTTTGTAGACCCACGTCTACGTGTTTCAACCGTAGTGCACACACAGCTGGGGGCCACTGTCAAAATATGTAGAACCACCATTAATGTGCATTAGGCATGGTTCAAATGCTCAGAAAATGTTACCAGAGGAATGAAGTTAGAAGGACACCTTCATGAGAAAAAGTACAATTTGTTGGAGTAAAGACAAAGAGGTTTGAATGCTGTGTCTTCAGATTTAACTGCTGATTGCATACATTAAAGTAGAGTTTAAGTAAATTTAGTCAAAGTTATTTTCAATAATAACCTTAACTTTGAATAATGATTCAAGACAGCTGCTCAAATATAAAACGAAGAACAGAGTAAATGAAAAATCCTCCTGATGTGGAGGACAAAGAGTCGAAAACAACGAACGATGGCATCTGTGCTAATCGTCTGGGCTCGCTTTTATTCCGTCTTTAATGATTTATTATTTTGTCTTTCTTTGTTGCAAACTCTGCTTCCATTACTCTTCCTGTGTCGGCCAATCAGCACTTCACCTGCATGCATCATCATCATCATCATTATCAGGTATCAGGCTGGATAAAGGTGCATCCTTGTATCTTTGCTGTTTTTGTCCACAGCAGAAAAGCCACACAAACATCATCTAACTCGCACGAGCCAGATAGTGTTTAGTGCAGAACTCAAATGAAGTGCATTAAAAAGAAAAGAAAGAAAAAAAAACCCAAATGTTGAATCTTAGAAGCCGCTGTGTTTTATTCAAAGTGAGAGCCCACTCTGATGATGCAGAGATGCAAAGATGGGGCGGGCATGGAGGAAGTGTACCTTGAAAACGCTGGCCACAAAGCTGCAGCTAGCAACCAACTGAATCACTGTGGCTGAAATGTTTTTGCAGCCCACTCTTGCACTTCATCGCCAAGAATTATACATCTTCTCTGTAAATCTATTACAGTTACTTAAATATGTCTTTCAATCAAGAGGAAAGAACGGCAACACACAAACACGGACACATATTTACTTTAAAAACCCGATCTGAATCTGAGACCCAAAGTTGTAAATCTACCCGGGTGCAGCTGTTACCTTTGTAGTAAACAACACAACACAGCCTCAGGCCACAGCTCCACTTTTAGCCGCTCTGTGGCCAAAGAGGTCAGAAGCTAAACGTTTCCAGGTCCATGAAAATGAAAGGAATTCCTTTTTTTTGCCCTGACGCTTGGCCTGAAATTAAACCCGTTCTTCCTGCTACCACCCCGTAGTAGCAAACATGACCGAGCGGGCAAAGCTCGCCATCACTTGCCGTTATACAGTTACATCAATTCTAGATCGGCATGCAGCGCTCTTCCTTCCTGTTCTTATCAGTGTTACGTGCTACATTATCAAACTCTGTGGCATGTCATTCAGAGGGCTGTCTAAACATATTAGGGGACGCGCCGTATTATTATTAATGCAGGTCGAGACAAGTTGCACGACGCAACAAGCTCAACCAGCTGACTGTTGCGAGGCTGCAGGACAGCTCTCCATCAGACAGGAGAGCTTCTTTTGAAACAAGAGCTACATTAACAAACACACTTTGAGCACTGGCAGGAAGTAGCATGGCGAAATCAAAGAGTGAAAATCCCCTGTGCACCCTTCGTGTGTGATGAAGGAAGTCACTGAGTGTTTTTCAATTGTTTTAGGGCAGTGTTAATTTTTTCTTTGAGTTCCCGTGGTTTCGTAAATTGCAGAGCATGCATGAAGCGAGTGCCATCGCTCTCGACTAAGTTAGTTATGATCTAACTTACTGTAAACCAAGAGTCTGGAGCTCAAGATACTGAGCAGAAGGCCTTTTTAACTTAATGCTACTGACCCCGTCTTCCTGTCTTTTTAGTGCTTAGCAGCTAGCGCTCGCTTCCTTGCTGAAAACAGCAGCTACTCGGGTTGTTGTGAAACTAAACTTGTGGTTCTGAAATACCAACATATATAACTTCAAGATGCTAAAACACTGAGGCAAAAGGGACTTATTATTCTATTATTCAATCTAATAGAAAAATATGTAACAGGTACAAGTTTATGAGCAATTAAATAAATTGTCAAGTCCTCATATTTATTAAAAGATCAGCGCTTTCTGTTTGGTGCTACCTTCAACATTTCAGGAGGATGAATCCTAACGATCAGCTCGCTCCTTAACCTCTCTTTCTGTGCTGACATCAGCACAAAATGCACACATAAATCCAGCGAATCTAATGAAGCTGATTGTTTCATATTAAGTGTAATGAACACTTAAGAGTCTGTGCACTACTGGAAAGTCGGTGGCGTTTGCTTTAAATATCACTAAAGCAGTAACTGCCGTGTCTGGAAGATGAAACCACAGAGGAAGTGGCTCAACATTGACTTCCTCTTATGAAATCGAAGTGGTGGATACAGTAAAATTAAGACTAATGTGCGCTATGTGAGCACAAAAAAAAAAGAAGAAGAAAAAACTCACTCTGATTGGCTGAGTGCTGAAGCGAATCTTTCTACTGGGTGGCGGAGGCTCCTCTTCCTCAGGAAGGCCAGGGATTTCTGAGCAGCTGGACTCTGGCTGATATGCCTCCTCCTCGTCTTCGTCATCCTCATCGTCCAGCTGGCTTCCCCCAGAGTCCTCCTCCCCAAGCCCGCTGTATGCGCTGATATCTATCAGATCTCCCTCAGAATAATCCTCCTTCCTTGAACCATCCTCGTCATTCTCATCTTCTTTGGCCCTCTCCTCAGAGTCCTCTTCTTTCTCCTCCGATGAAGGAGAGGAAGATGGAGGCTCTTTCTCTCCATTTTCCAGCGAGGCATGAACCTCAGCTTGCACCAGCCTACCCGCGGCCTCAGATCCCGCAGTGGCGCTGTCCTGATCGCCAGGCTGCAGCCCAGAGGCTTCCACTGTACTCGAACCCTTGGCCTCAGTTGCTGCCAGCTCTGGTTTGGCCTCCGATGAAGAGGAGATGGAAGTGACAGTCACTGAGGAAGAGGAGGAATAGGAAGAGTTGGAGAGCTGGTCCCCCGACAGTCCAAATGCATCCTTCTCTTCATTGGTCGCGGCTCCCTCCATGTTCCTTTCTAGAGAACCCGTTTCTTCATGTAGCTCTGCTGCCTGGTTACTTATAACTCCTGCTTTTACCTCATCTTTCTCGTCCTTATCTGCAGGTATCACCTTTGTCTGGAAGAAAAGCACAGGGAGATCATGTAGTAGTGCAATCAAAAGATTTTCTAGTTCAAGAACTTCCCCACAGCTTAATTGCAAAGTTTTAAGTTTTTGAGAAAATCCTTTTCACCTTCCTGTCTGCTGCTTCCACCCTGGGTGGAGGTTTGGGTTTTGGTGCCAAAGCAGGGGCTGACCGACGCTGGGGGAGGTAGAGATTGTTTTGCAGGTCACCCTTTTCGAATGCGGCGCTGAGCTGGCTCACAGTGGGACTGACGGCCTCGCCTGGTCCGGCTAAAGCTGCAGTAGACGAAATAGAAGGAGGGGTGGGAACAGGGGGATCATCTAGCCGGTCCAGAGCTTCAGTGGACCCATTAAAGCGAGCCACAACATCTAGACGGCTGCCCTGGAAGCCCGACGCCCGCTCTTTCTTCAGCAAGATGCGGTTAGTGGCAGCTTGCTTCTCCTAAAGGACGCACAAATAACCAGTCAGTTAAAGATTACAAGCGAGCTATGTCAACTAAATGATAAAAAATAACAACGCAAGTGTAACATCTGACCTGCAGAGTCCGCTGCTCAAAGATCCTCCTGGTCTCCTGGAGCTTTGACAAGCCCACAGATGAGCCACTGCCCTCCCTACCAACTTTAGAGTCAAAACGGTTGACCCTTTCAGAGACCGTGCCCCCAAGTTTCAGCAGGGCGCTGTGGTCGACGTGCTCATTGAGGCTGGATACTCTCGGCAGGGACAGTTTCACTGCCTGTTCCTTACCTACTAATGACAGAAAATAAACAAGTTGTAAAAAAACGAAATTGTCCTTTAAGGGAAGTACAGGCTAACACCACTGGAGTTCACCAGAGCAGGTGGTTTTATCATTAATGAATTTTGGCTACACGAAGTATCACAGCATGGATATCATCAACACATTTGTCTTTGTTCATAACCCAGTTTGTATGCCTGCTACTATCAATAAACATGGCCTTAAGTGTTGGTGGTTCAATTTAGCCGCTTTAGCAGGAGCTTAATAATATATGTTAAAAACAAAATCTGAACTCACTTCAAAACCATAATCTTGTAAAAAGAATACACACATATGCAACATAAGGATACTGGTCACAAGAGACAGGCTAACGGCTAAAGGCTAGTTAGCTAGTTCCTAGCTAGCAACTTTACTAGCTAATCCATGTAAAAAAGGGCTTCTTCTGTCTGTAGTGTAGCAGTAGTGCAAGTGCTAAGGTTGCAAATACCAGGTGGAAAAATGCAGAAGCTACAGTGTTTTTACGTTTAAGAAGAAATCTTTTGAGGATATGAAAATCTTTTTATTAATGTATTTGGATGCTCAGTTCCACTCTGACAGGAGGCAGAGGAGAACTGAATCATCACAGCAAAATGCTTTGAGTGTGAGGACTAATGGTCCCCGTGACTTTATTTTCAGAGCACTTCTCAAGCTTTTGTTGTTTCCAGGTTACAAAAAACCATCTTTTGATCACAATGCAGATACTGAAAGCCCCACCCTCTCTGACTGTTTGACTGGTGAGAGGTAAAAAGAGTTGTTGAGCACAGCACTCAACACACACACACAAAAACATGACTAGCCGTGCTAACATTCGAAGCCGACTTATCAGATAATTTGTGTTTTTAAAGATTTCTAGATCAAACCTTTACTATGGTAAACCCGCTTCTCTTTGTGAACACTGGAGAATTTAAAAATTTTCTGTCTTTCGATGGCCGACACCTGAGAATTAGAGGATATTTGTGGTTCTAGTTGTGTAAGCAACCCTCTTGTATATTTCCAACATATCACTCACATTACTGTCTACCAACTTTCCATTGGTAGTCATTCAATCTCGCCTTATTTTTCACATTAGCTTAACTTGATACTCGGCCACTTCATTTCACCAGTTGTTACTTGGCCTGTTATTGTCAGAAGTCAGAAAAGGAATCATTGTCATTGCAAGTATTGGGTTTATCTTGCACATTTGAATACTGGTACCAACCGATATTACTTTTTGGCATAATATATTCTAAATTTGGTGTCTGAGAGCCACACTTGCTGCAGTAGTCTTCTGATCGACACAAAACCTCCACATCAGCGCTGGTATAGTAGTAGAAGCAGTCGAGACAGAAAGCAAATACATCAACACATTGCAGAATTTTTTTCCCCCCAAACTATTGCCGCATCGCTCTCTGTATAACTTGTAATTTTCAGCACTGAAATGATGGTAAAACCCAATATGATCACTGGTGACGCTACGTGTGACATCGAGGGGAACACGAACAGCCGAACCTTATGTACTATGAATCAGTCCTCATTAGTACCAATGTAATTTTGTCGGTACCCTAAAACAGCAGTCCGTAAACTTTTTTTTGCGCTACGGACCGGTTTATGTCCGACAATATTTTCTCTGACTGGCCTTTAAGGTGTCTCGGATAAATACAACAAGATTTATTCATAACAGACAGACCCAGGGAAACAGAGTTAACTATTAAAAACGATAAAAATAACCCGATAAAAACCCTGAAAACCATAAATTTCACACCCGGGCCACGAGAGTTGAGGCCCGGGTGTGAAATTACCAAACGGCTCACAGACCGGTCCACGGCCCGGGGATTAGGGACCGCTGCCCTAACTGAATTCGGTAACCGACCCTACAAGTTGCTACATTCCTTGATTCTAAAGGGTTCTGTGAAAAGGCTAGTTACCAATCATTTTGGCTCCATCCTCTTCATCGCCGGGAGACTGCATCTGCATGAACATGTTCTTGATACGGTGAACATTTGAGCCATATTTCCGGCCCCTCCCAGTAGGCCGGGGCAGAGGAGCGGGTTTTGAGGCAGGGTCAGCGCCTCCATTGGCGGCATTGTTGAGGTGGTCTGTGGCCTTCTTCAGCGCCGCAAGACCTGCCTCGTAGGCATTGCGGTGGGGAGACGGACTTCGCAGATTAGAGCTCCCGTTGCTCCCACCGGAGGCCCCGTTGCCTCCCGTGGCCGACGGAGGCTCAGTCTTCATCATGTTTGGTGAGTCAAATGTCCCGTGGTGAATAGCAGGTTGGCATGAATGAGGGGGGCAGCATCCTGGAGCTGTCTGACATTCACCTCCTGAATAAAACAGAAATAGATCAATGAGCCGTGTACTCTGGACACGTCTGTGCATCGGTTTAAACATTCTGAAGGATATGAGGCAAATGAAATTTACATGTTGGATTTTTCAAAGCTTTAACCAGCAAATTGCTGTGCAACTAAGGCAAACATGCAGATAAGAACCACAGATGTTCACAGTGAACAGCTGAAGCCACCCAGCAGGCCTTCATTTTGTTGCACTGAAGTAATACTTTAGCCCAAAATCCCAAACAGCCAGCGGTGCCAGCTTCTCAAGAGTAACTATGCTAGTTTACAAAGGACCTCTTGGCTGTATGCTGTCGCTCAGACAAGGTTTTTGATACATACAATTAGGTTGCATATGATTGTGATCAATAATCAAAAACTCTTTAACGAACACATGTATTTGTGCCAGCTGGGAGAGTGTTAACAGAGTATAACTAAGCTGAAGATGAGCGAACTTGGCATTAGACGACATCACAATCGCCCCTCTGTGTACACCCACACGGCGCTGCCGCAGCCGTCAATATAATCCAATTAAAACAATGACGCAGTGTGACAACTCCCCCCCCCGCGTGTTTATATTGCTGCTCCTAATGCCAAACTTGCTTCGTGATAGACTTGCCAGATAAATACATAGCACGAACACAGAACAGCCCTTTGGTCCCAAGATATCACAGTGTTTTCTCGTGATAGCATCTCATTTACTGGTTGACAGCATTTGTGGCTTGTGCCGTCAGATCTTTGCAACAGGGATTCCTGATGTTTTCATCAGGCTTGATTGACTCTATAAAAACTATGTAGTATAACAGAGACAGCAATTAGAACACAATGAATTATAGAAAGAGTAACGAGGTTTCTTGATAATCTGCCAATGACGTGCTAAACTACAAAAAAAATAACGGCAACTTTGATTTGATTTGCTTATATTTTTCTTTGATAGTTGCGTGACCTTTTATGATTTAAGGTCACGGCAGTAGTTTTGAGTGCACCAAATTTAACAGATCAAACTAAATTAGTAAAGTTAGATTAGCTTAGCTTAACTCAGGTAGACAGCTAGCCTTGTACAATCCAAAACAAACAATTCCTGCTAGCACCTCCAGCTCCTACATTGCGCAACCCCTCACATGCTACCATTGGCATCACTGCACAACCCTGGCAAAGCACAAGTTCCCAAAAAAACAACAAAACAACCTGCAGTTCTACTAATGACCACTTGAAATTGACTTTAAAAAAAAAAAAAAAAGCGACTCAATCTCCACAGATTCCAATGCTAAAACGTCCAACTTTACAATATTAAAAAGTGAACCTGGCACAAGAGGTTTGGATCCCTAGTCTCCCTCTTCATAACAAATGTATAATGCATGTTTTTTAAACATCTGTTACGCCCTAAAAGGTGCTAAAGAGTGTGGCTGCTGCCGAGTCTGCGTACACAGCTGATAGCTTAGTGCTACGCCGCAGTTGTAATTATTAGCATCACTGATCTGAACGTCTCTACCACTTGTGAAGTATCGATCCATTCTGGAGTGTTTTTGTTTTCTTTGGACTTATCTGACAAGTATTATGGCTTGCTGTGTGGTACAGCCTGCCCAAGGAATATGTGCTTCAGCTTTTGTATTTCAGTAGACTGTTGTTTTGCACTAATTAGCATCTAAGCCTCTCAACTAAATATGCTAACTTTTGCCTGAAAGAAATGAACATGGCAGAAGCCAAAACACTAACATTAAAGCCTTAAAATGTAAAATCAGAACCAACCACGGCATCCATCTTTTACATGCAGTCTATGGTTACCAATTTGTAGCAATCTTCTCTGTTACATCTCCATGAATAGCGCCATGGGGTTTTGTGCAAATACATTTCTTAGCTAGCCGAAGTAGCATCAAGGTGATAAGACAGGTGATTCCCCTTCTTTAGTACTTCAATAATCTAACCCTGATGAAAAATAAATAAATACATTTGTAATTTCAAGGATTATCTAATGGAACGTGGACACAGCCAGAGACACATTTTTCCAGCAGACTGTGGGATTTGTGTGAAAATTCACAGCTGCTGTGTGAAGATTCATACTGTCATTTATGTTACACTGTCACAATGTTACCTCTACTTTAACTTATCATTGCTCAATGCAAAGAAGCGCAACAGTTCATTTTACTGCGAGCAGCATTTACTTGTACTTTGCCTCTTTGAGTCTCAAGTATAAAACCTGAATCAGAATTTCCACTAAGGATTGTACCAAACGGACTCCAAATGAGGATAGCCACCAATACAGGAGCCTGCGATTTCATGGGCAACTAAGGCTGTGTTTCATTTGTCTTCCACAACTTGAATTTACAAGGTCACCACAAACTGCCTGAACTAAATCGCGACATTTTCCAGTATCTTCTGTGCAACGTAGTCGAGTTTGTGTTTGGCTGTTAATCAAAAGTCAATGCAGCAATTACATTTTAAACTCTTAAGATGAACAACTCTCTACTCAACAGACTAAGAAATCTTTACAGCTCAGTAACAAGAACTAGCAGGTGTTTTCCTTTGTTGCATGATAAACTAGAACTTAATGAAAATGAATGTTCCTCAGTGGCTTGTGCTCAAGGTTTAAACATTTCCATCTCCATGTTTTTATTGCTGGAACTTCTGGAATAGCTTTTTAGCAAGTTGTTCTAAGACAGCTTCATTCTGATTGGCTGCACCTCATAAACAGAAGGTCTGGATTGGCTTGACCTCTGTGCTCACAACCAAAGCTGTGAGCCTAAGATGACGTATTAGGAATAGCTGGAGTAGCTGACATCACAGAGGCCCAAAGGTAGGAAAAATGGTTGAAACAGAATGTTTGCAGAAGCCTGAGATACTGACTGAGATTCATGGTGCATGTTTGACGTTCCAGCGTTTGCACATAAAACTCCTCTCATTCCCACTTGCAGCTACTTACAAATGCTTTGCAGCAACATGCATCGTTGCTAAAGGAACCCCGAGCAGGTTGGATCATGTAACCGTTTAGCTTTCCGTGACGGTGCTAACAAACAGGATGTCGCTGGAGATGAAACCATTTTTAGAGATGTGAAACTAATTAAACTAAACAAAGGCAACACTTTATATTACCGCCCACGGCTGTAGCTACGTGGAATTTCAATGCATTTATTTTGAAAACATTATAATTACCTACAAACATTTTAAGGTAGACACACTAGAATAAGGTCATGTTTTTAAAGGAAAGAACAAATAATTAAACTAAGTAATTTTAAGTAATGTGCAACTAGTTATAAGTGATGCACGATCAGTTTTAAGTATTGCATCACTTCAGGTAGAAGATAAATTTACATTGTAAGTAAATGTAAGTAGTGTGTAGTTACCTGGCAAACAAACAGTATTATGGACTGGCTCAAGTGTTATCCAGTGATGTCAAGATGTACCTTTTTGACGCCTCCTATGAGGATCTAATGATTTCTTACTCAGACACGAGGGTAATCTGAATATCTTTGGATGCTAGCGTAAGGGTCACATGTCTGAACTTTTGCCATCTTTGCCTGCAGGAAGTCCTTTTATGGAGAAAACCAGTAATTAAAAAGAAATTATCAGACAAAACAATGATGAATTCTACTTGTAAACATAGCTGAAAGGCAGTCTGGGTAATAAGAAGCAGTGTTTATAGTACAGTCTGGCCTCACACTTACTCCAGATGGCACTGCCGGCCATGGGGGGTGGGGTGGGGGGGCAGACACACACACTGCAACAACGGTCTTGTGACACTGTCTTGCTAAATACTCAATTCTCACATACAGATCATGTGAAGTCAAGTGAGCAAATTGAATGTAAAGCCAATAACTTTCTCACACACACACACGCACGCACACACACACGCACGCACGCACGCACACACGCACGACACGCACGCACGCACGCACCAAACCTCACACACACACACGCACGCACGCACACACGCACGCACGCACACACACACACAGCTTTTATAGTTCTTGGCTCGTTTCCTGATATTGTTCAAATGAAGCTCCCGCTCTGATTGAGAAACAGCATCACAAACACACATAAACCCCCAAAACGCACAACACCAGCAAACAGACTCCAACTCCAGTCTCCACCGTGACGTGGGCGGGCCTTTGCGCCTCTTCATTCGTTGGTGTGTAGCCACCAGTTAAAAGAAACGTAACTAAATCCAGCACAAGTATGGTGAAGCACCTCTTTCGAAGAACAACTCAATCCGCCTCCTGCCTGCCTCTCATCCCTCGCGGTTTGGGGTTGCTTCCTGCCATTCAGTGTAGAGTCTAACTACCAGCTGGGCTCCGGGTTTCCTGTTCAATAACACACATGGTTTCACACGCAGCAGCGTCCTTTTCAGTTTATTATAACCAGTTGGTCTCACTCTCGAAACATCAGGGTCACTGATTTGCCTCAGCTCTTACCGACTTCACTAATCTCTAACTAGATAACAGGATATTGCTTTCACCTGTACTCACAGACAGGGCTCCCATCCTCCACCCACAGACACACACACTCAGTATCAAGTACGGCAATGCGATCCAAAAAATAAAAACAATGCACCAGAACCACTGCCTGCACCAGTCACCCTAAGCATATGGAGGCAAGCATCTATTGACTTGTAATCTATTTATGGGAGGTCCCTGAACGCCTCCTCCCATCACTAAATACAGGCTACATCACACGCACAGCCTTCCCTGTGTTTTTCTAAGTGTTTGGGTGGTTAGTATGGCACAAGTGACCTTGTCTCATGATATACTGTAAAACCGAGGAGTGCTCAGTTCACTGTAACCGCTCACATCTGTCTGTGTCACAGTCTCTGCAGTAGCTCAGCTACATAATGCTTGAAACTGGCACGATAATACACTGGCCGTTCAGACGCGAGCATTAAAGTCCTTATGCCCTGCGTGCGTCACGCACACAGTGTCCAACAGAAGGCACATTATGGTAAACACAATGACTCCATCTATTCACACGACAATCGCTGCATCGGGCCTCGGCTAGTGCAAAGGTTCATTCTGGCAGACAGTCTGCCTGCGTGCTCCTCCTGCTGCTGCTGCTGCCACAAGCTCGAGAGAGGCTTTGTTGGCATAGCGACATATGCTCCACGCACCAAACTCCTATCCGAAAACGGCTCCTTTTTTGTGCCGCTTCTTTTCTAGCAAACACGTCAATCGCCAAATAAGACTGAATACGTACTGTTAGTAAGCGCACACTTTTCAACAAATCGGCGTCCGAGCAGCACACACAGCAGCGTTTATCTCACACTAATGTCAACTATTGTTTGCGGGTCGCGTGCCGTGGTCCCGCTCACTGCACGTCAATACCAATACGCTGTAGCACTATGCTCGCACGTTATCATTGGTTTTAATTTGAAATAAAAACGTTTGACTAATGAGTCTGGCGCCGAATCCGACAGAGTACCCCGAGCAACCCGGAGAAGTTTCAAATGGTCTGATAAAAGGGTGGGTAACCCTGCTGGCAGTGAGTCGAGTGCAAAATTTCACGTTTTTGTAAAGGACTTTGGGGTGGCGTTCTCTAAGGATAAGCGTGAGCAGTGGAATAGGGTGTTCCCGCGTGTCTTTCCCTGCTGTGTTTCAGCGCGGCCGTTATTACCCGGTTGATACGATGAAGGCGCAGAGCTGTGGCGGTATCGGACGGTTTCACCGGCCGGTTCCAGGACCCAGAGGCAGCCGGTACGCAGGCCCCGCTCAGCGTCTGCTGCGCCGCGTCGCTTCCTTCCTGCAGCCTCTCTCCTCTCCCGCAGACACACGGCAGCTTTTTTAACGCGGGTAAAACGACGGCACGAACTGACCCGTGTGCTAACCTTCAGCCATACCTTGTATTCCAGCTTGATGAAGCTGCCCGGTGCTCGTTAGGACCCGCGGTGAACGCTGTCCATTGTCCTTCTGTTGCTGCCGATTCCTCCTGCGAAGCAAAGCAGACTGAGTGCCTGCCTCCTCTCTGCTCCTCCTTCTCCTCCCCCCTCACATCATCTGTTTTCCTCCGTCCCCCTCTCTCTCTCTGTTTCCTCCTCACCCCTACTCCTCTTCCTCATCTTCTCCCCCAACCCGTTTCCTGCTCGTTCACACCTTTATCTGTTCACACTCCGTCCACACACACAGCCTTCTCCCTCCTCGGTCGTCGTTCATCAGGTGTGGTTGAATTCATTCCGTTAAACAAGCAGCAACTACCTGATCTTATATAAAGCGGGTCCTGCCGGCCCCCGCTGGTTAGCTGCTTCTTTTTTTCTCTTTTTTTGGTTGTTGTTTTTGTGTCTCTGTGGTTGGATGACTTTTACGAGCTGCTCGGTAAAAACCGATCAGCGAGAGTTCCTCTCCAGATACAGTAGAGCTCCAGCGACCTCTGCTGGCAGAAGCTGTCACTGCCAAACGCAAGGTGCAGTGACGCCACCGCTGCAGCAGCTGTTTGCACTCATTTACTGTACTTTTACTGTGATTTTACTGCTTTTTATTTACAGGTTATTGCATTTTCAATACCTTACAGTACATACAGAACTTTTTTACTAACATCATTGTAATTCTATACTTTCATTTACCTTTATAGCTTTAATTTACTGTATTTTTACATTTTTTTCAGTGATGCTGTTATGGGTGTATTTTCATTTACATCACTTTCATTTTTGTTTTTCTGCTGTGTTTACAATACTTTTGATATACTTTTATACATAAGGCAAGTCTCAGGAAGGGAGCATATGTCAGCCAGTGTTTTGTTCTATAAGGTGATGGAAATGATTTTTTTTATTTAAACAACTTATAAAGTGTAAAATAATAAAAATCTGACAAAAAAACAGGTGGTTACTATAACTGTCACTGTGGAGTAAAAAGCATGCCATATATCTCTCAAATGCAGTCAAATAAACAGTGTTAATTGAAAATATCCACATACCTTAAATACCACAAAATTACGTTTCACCATATTCAAGTGGTCACAAGGAGCTGCATCGTTGTAAATATTCATAGATGGTAACCTGAACTTGACTTTATTAACCCTCTGGGTTTGTTCAAAAGCACAACCTTTCAGCTTGTTCGTGGCCAAAAGTGGCCACGAACACATTAGGTCTGTAATTTTGATTATTTTCATGGTTTTTTGCCATTTTTTCTGCATAAAGCTTTTAAGTAACTTTAGTTCTTTTCATGAATATAAAATAATTATTACTTTTTAAATTTTCAATCCTTGAAACACCAGTTTGTTTGTCCATCTGGAAGACAACCTCAAATCTCGTAATTTTATATAATTGTTAAACATATGTTTGTATCATATTACATATGATAAAATTCATATGTATTAGGAAAAAATTCAAATTTTTTTGACTTGTTTTTTTAGATTAGCATCAGTGCTGTTCATCAAGACCAAAATTTCAATCAAATCCAGAATTTTAACCCCTTAAATACCAGTTAAATCACATAATTTTAATGATTTAAATAGGGCTAAAAGCATAAAATCACAATTTTTTTCTAAATAATACATGCAAACTGATTTATTTTGTAACCATGATGGAGGTTAGATGCGTAGCAATAATTAAAAGTATCAATGAGTTTTATGCATCTTTGTTTTTTTGTGCAGTGACAGAAAAACAAAAAAACTCCCTCTCAGCTTGTTCATGGCCAAAAATGGCCACCCCCTGTTTATGTTTACAAAATGCTATAAAATTCATATATATTAAAACATTTTTCTACTTTCATTGACTTGATTTTTTAAATTAGCACCATTAGCATACAAATGATGAAACCTAATATTTCTTTTTGTCATCATTGCAGGTCAGTAACAGTAACAATGATTTATTTTTACTTTGTTTTTTTACATTTTTTTCTTTGGTGGGGGGGTGAATGGCCAAAAAGAATATCACACATGGTGTGTTAGTGGCCGGAAAAGCAATTTAATGACCAAATGACCAATAAAATGATCAAAATTTATATTCCAGTGTGTGCTTCTGTGTGCATCCTCATTAGCAGCA